TTCCACTACACAGAAAAAAATCCTGAGGCTCAGGGAGGTCAAATAAATTATCTAAAGCAGGAGCCAGCAAACTTCTATGTAGGATCAAATAGTAAATATTGAAGTCTTCATTTGCCCTAGGGTCTCAGTCTCAACTACTAGACTCTGCCACTGTAGAGTGAAAGCAGCCTTAGACATTATGTAAATGAATAAGGGGCTGGGTTCTAATAAAACTTTATGAACAGTGACATTAAATTTCCTATAATTTTCACATCACAAAATATACTTGTTTTGATATCTTTTTCAGTGATTTAAAAAATATAGAAACTATTCTTAGCTCAAGGACTGTTAAAAACAGGCAGCGAGCTGGCTTTGCCCTGTGGGCTGTAGTTTGCCAGCCCCACACAGCCAGTAAGTGATGGATTCAGGCTTTGAACCCAATTGTCTGCCCAGTTCTAAAGAACATGCATGTCAGGTACTTAACCATTGTATTCTACAGCTTGATCATAGAAGAGGCTCTTTAAAGATCCCCTTTTGAATCAATTTATATCAGTGTCCACAACTTTTAGACCTGAGAAAAGAGGCCACTAAATGGTATTACTGGTCTTTTTGCTGCCAAAGGGTAATATCTATGATAGAGGTATTGGTCAAATTCATTTTAAAAAATGAATTGTCTCCACCAAACACTGGATTAGGTGCTAAAGAAGGAGTAATTATATACCTCAATTGCCGTCCTCAAGGAGCACAAAGCCCCACAGCAGACAGACAGACGAGTAAGCAGTTACTTTACAGGGTACAATTGAAGCACTTTGTGGGGGTAATAACTCAAGGTGAAGTGAGTTTGGGGGTAACGTGTAGAAAGTGAAGGGTGGAAGTCTGCATCAAGAGAGTCTTTCCAGAAGAGTTAACCTTCAAGGTGAGTTTTGAAAGACTAATAGGGTTGACTAGCTGAAATTAGGGAAAAGAGCGATCCAGGGAAACAGCAGATCCAAGTGCGGAAGGAGAGAACACGGCATGTTTAGGGAACTGCTAATTTAGTGAACACAACGCTGGAACTGGAGGTTCTCCCCTGACATGATTTCCTCCCCCTCACTCACGCACTCAGTCTTTTATCAAAACCTGCATTTAGCTCAATAAATCCAGCAGAAGGAAGAGGCTTAATGTAGTATACCGTTGGTAATGTGTGTTGACCAGCACTCACCAGGAGGGCCGGGAGTGACTGTAAGGACAGGAAGGCTGTTCACAAGTCACAGCCCGTGGGCCCAGGGTCAAAATTGCAAGTAAAATATTAAAGATTAGATGTATAGAAAAAACACCTCAAAAATGCTTCCTGCTAGAATGCATAGGAGTTGAATGCAAGGCAGGAGAGCTGGCAGACAGCCTGGCATGAGCCTGGTAGACTAGGGAGGGCTTTTCATCTGAAACCACTCAAGAACGTCAGCTAGATCCTCAATAAAGTTCCCTTTCAAGAGGAATGGTATATTTTTAAAATTAGTTTAAAATTACACAAATAATAAGGAAATATATTCTTCAGCAATGCATCCCATCATTACAGATTAGACCAAGTTCTTCCTTCAACACTTATGTATTTTTGTTCTTAACCCCCTTCCCCAGAGGCAAATTCATTTTTCAGTTTCATTCGTATCCTTCCAAGTTGTTTTCCATGCACTTACACACATCTAAAATGATCACATTTAGATAAAGCCATTTGTAATTCAGATCCCACTATTGAAACATATTTTTTCGATTGTTGGTCTATCTGGAATTAACTTACAAACTAAAGGTTAAAAAAGAACCTATAAAATATTTAAAAATAAGACTGAAACAAAAAAAAGAGGAAAATGAGTTTACATATACAGTATTTTTAAAATATCAACATTAGTAGATTATGAAAGAATAAATGTGAAGATTTTTGTTTGTTAAAAACAGATAAACAAGCAAAAAAAGCCCAACAAACCATAAACCAGTGACTATTCAGAGTGGCAGGAGCCATTGGAAGGCAGTAAGATGTGGGCACTCTGAAGTCACACTGCCTGGGTTAATCTAGCCTCTGCCACTTCTACTGGGAAGACCTTGGGTTAATATTTAACTCCCAGTGTCTCAGTTTCCTTACCTTTAAAAAGAGGGCGGTAGTAATTGTACCTACCTTACTAGGCTGTAATAAGAAATATGCGAGTTAATAAACATAAGCCTCTTACAACAATGTCTGGCCAATTACCGCATGATGTCAGTTACATGTGGGACCTAAAAAGGCCGAACTCATAGCAGTAGAGAGTAGAATGGTGGTTATCAGGGGCTGGGGGTGGGCATTGGGTAGAGTTGGCCAGAGAATACAA